AGCTATTATTATTTCTAAGGCAAGTCGAGAATAAATTGGAAGAAGTTGGGTCAGTTAGTAATGGTTGAATCAGCAAGATTGTGGCAGTGATCAGTTTCTTCAGCGTGAAGTTATACATGTAGTTTGTGGTTGTACACTTGGGCTTGAGCTTCACCACAACTTGGTTGATTTGAGAGGTATTTGATTCGAATGGATTTTTTGTGTGAATGGATTCCGGAAGAGTTGTGGCAGTTTGGATCATGACTTGAGGTTTGTATTTTATGCGGTTTGAGGATTAGTTTGCGTGTTGTATTGGTCCTTCTGAGATGAGCTAAGTGAAAGGTTTCTAGCTAATGAAGTGTTTATCCACTAGTAGTTCAAGGTTTATGGTGAATACGTGTATTATGACGTAGCAGCATGATGTGTGCAGTGAGCGGCGTGAGAACTGGAAATTGGAGGTCAGGTCGCGGTTCGGTGTTGATTAGTATGTCACGAGCTCGGATGAGCAGGGGTGAATTCGGATGTTCAGAGTAAGTTGGCATTTTCTTTAGTGTCACCCGAGAATGGTGTTCTGTGGAAAAGGCTTTGTGTATTGATTTGCAGATTTTGTTTCGCTTTACGGAATTGGAAGGGTTGGTGGTTTGGATGTGCAGACTTTGCTACCTGAGCGGAAGGTCATGAGAGCGTACCTCACGGGCAGATTTGTATAAGTGTGACATGTTTGTCACTTGATTGTTAAAGATCGAAACCAAGTACAGAGGTTATGGTAATATCACTAATGCGAGAGTTTATGCCCGAGAGACGTTCTATTCCTTGGGCTGTAGACTGTGTGAGTTTGTTCTGGATTTGACGGCTGTTCTTATGTGTCATGAATAGGTCAGTATGGATCCTTGAAAGGTTATTATCCCAGTGTGTTATGATCAAACCCGGCTTGAGGTTCGTGGTCTAAATGTGGATGTGTGCTCTACACCAGGCCAGGTGTGTTCATTCAGCATAACATTTCTTATAGAGGAGTCTTCAGACATTGAATGTTATTTTCGTCATCAGCTATTTCATGTAATACTCTATTATGCCATGTGGGTTGTGAGACGATTTGATTATTTGCACATCTGTTAAGGTCCCGCATAGTTGTGGTGTTATGTGAGCAGGATGGCTGTCGAGATAAAGATCATATATCGCACCTTAGTTGTGCTTGGGTTTCGTAGCGTATGCCACTATCCATCTCCATGTACTATGCACTTGGCGTGCTTGTGGTCGACATTCGGGTATTTAGTAAGTATAAGCATTATGGATTGATGTGTGTTTTCTTCTTGATTTTTATGTGCGAATTGGGTGGCACGCCGCCACAGGTATATTGTTTAGATCGGGTGGCACGCTGCCATGGGTATGTTTTGCGGATCGGGTTGCACGCCGCAACATTGTCATGTTGGATCGGGTTGCAGTCACAATAGTGTCACATTGGATCGAGTTACACGCCACAACAGTGAGATGTTGAGCATAGTTCCTTACACTCATTTTGTGTGCCTTGTTTTCATCCTTGAGGTAGGTTCATAGCACCTATTAGGCCGTTTTATTCGTCACGCGGGCTAGGTATTTCCCTGTCAGAGTTCGTTCTTCCTTATGGATTATATTCGAGTTTGTAGCTTGTTGGCGCATTGTTGGTGTTAGATGAGATTTTGCAGTGTTTGAGATGGCTGAGCAGCTTGTACTAGGCGAGACGAGGTTATTGGACCTAGGATCAGTGCGATCGGAGTTAGAAAGGGTATATTAAGGAGTAAATATCGTTATTCAGTTCAGAATGAGGTAATGGTCCTTATCAGGAAGAGAGACTCCATGATTTGTTGATTTGGTAGGTGGTTATTTGTTTCTACGCACCTCTTTTGTCGTGCCAGTATTGTGAGAGTTGGAACAGGACTTATATGCGTCATGAGGTGTGTTGTGGGCATCAGATTCGTGGAATTGCAGTTATTGTTATCAGAGGATGTTGTTATGGTCAAGCGACTTATGTGGTGCATGGTGTGATTTCAGCGGAGGAGCATGGTTATGATTGGGTACAGTGTGCAGTGATTGATACGGTATTCGTATATTAGAATCAGGTATTGTAGAGAAATTTAAAGATTGGAATTTGGTTCTAAGGCTTATTGACTAACTAAAAGGGAGGACATTCAATTTAACTCGAGCTAATGTGTTCAACCAGATTGTGGTGGCACGGGTAGGTGCACGAGGTGTTAAACAGTGGTCTTGGGCAACTCCAGAGCGGTTCTTAACACGTTCGAGGATGAACGTGTGTTTAAGTGGGGGAGAACGTAAAACGACCCGACCGGTCATTTTGAGCTCTAGAGCGTCGTTCATCGGTTTGAGGCCTTGAGTAGATTCACTTCAGGTATTATGACTTGTACGTGTGGTCGGAATTGAATTTCAGGAAGTACGATGTTGATTTGGGAACAAAATTCTAATTTCAGAAGCTTTAAGTTGGAAGAATTGACTAAGGTTTGACTTTGATTAAACAACCTCGAAATCAGGATTTGAAGGTTGCAATAGGTTTGTATAATGATTTTGGACTTGGACTTATGTCCGGATCGGGTTTTGAATTATCCGGGAGTGTTTCGGTGCTTATTCTGATGTCCATTTGGGATTCCGAGTCTGGGAATAGCTCCGTATGGTGATTATGGTTTTAGGAGCATGCCCGGATGTGGATTTGGAGGTCCGTAGGTCATTTGGGGGTCATTTGGCGAAAGTTGGAAATTTGAAGGTTTTATGGGAAGTTTGACCGGTAGTGGACTTTTTGATATTGGGTTCGGATTCGGATTCCGAAAGTTGGAGTAGGTCCGTAATGTCAAATGTGAATTGTGTGCAAAATTTGAGGTCAATCTAACGTGCTTTGATTGGTTTCGGCATCAGATGTGGAAGTTAGAAGTTCAACAACTCATTATGCTTGAATCGATGCGCAATTTGTAGTTTTTATGTTGTTTGACGTGGTTTGAGGCTTCGACTAAGTTTGTAACGTATTTTGGGATGTTTTTGTACATTTGGTTAAGGTCCGAGGGCCTCGGGTAAATTTTGGATGGTAAACGGATCGAGTTTGGGCTTAGGGAAATATTGAAGCAGCTGTCATCTGGTGTAACCGCAGAGGTTTTAGCCGCAGGTGCGGAGCCACAAAAGCGGACAAGAGGGTCGCGGAAGTGGTTCTAGTCGGGGAAGGCTGAGACCGCAGATGCAGTTGAGTTCCGCAGAAGCGGGACCTCACTTGCGCACGTGGAGCTGCAGATGCGGAGTTGAGGGGCCTGATGGAAGACCGCATAAGCGGTGTTTTAGCCGCACCTGCGGAACCGTAGAAGCGGTCAAGTGACCGCAGGTGCGAGAGGTCACTGGGCAGTGTGTTCTTTTGAGAACGGGATTTGGCCCATTTTCTTTCATTCTCTCTTGGTTTGGGCGTTTCTTGGAGAGCTTTAAGTGGATGTTTTCATCCTCAATGGCAAGGTAAGTTATCCCCACCTATTGTGAGTTAAATACATGGATTCTATAAGAATTTAAACATAGAAATATTGTAGAGATTGTGGGATTTTGAAGAAAAACCTAGAAATTGTTATTTTTGGAATTTGGCCATGAAATTGGACATGGAATTTGGAATAAGTTATATATTTGAGTTCGTAAAATTACGGTTAATATTTATCTTCGAAATTTTTTGGAATCCGGGCATAGAATTTTGACATAGAATTTGGAATAAGTTATATATTGGACGGAGCAGTGGCTTTGCCCGGCCTTTACCATTATCCTTCTTTGGAGGCATGTTCTTACCTACACAAGTGAACCTTAGACAGTTTTAGACGCATTGCAACATTTCAAAACCTGGTCTTGCAACCCCACACTTAAGAGTCCTTCACATGATGTTCAACACTTTTCGAGGCTACTCAGACTTCACCTCGTTTTTTTAGCATGAAATTCAAGCACTGACTTAATGATGCTTTCTACAATTTCGAAGCATCGGGCTACCAGTGAGCCACCCCACACATAAAATTCCATGTGGTGCACGGCGACATAGCACTAGTATTACAATCCCGGAGACTCGGGCTCCAATGGGGACAAAGAATGCCTTTGAGGCATTTTGACAAACACTTCGCATGCACTAGTGGCATGGAAGTCTTGTAAGAATGAGGGATTTCCTCAACCTCCCAAATCGGCTTGGGAATTCTGTGCTACCACTTTTTCATATAACAACAATACCATTCCTATGTGGTTCATGGGTGTAGGACAAAGAAACACATTATTACTATAAAGAACAAACCCAATTTTTTTTATCCGATTTCATGACTTTACACAATTCGAAATTTGGCAAAGAAAAGAGTTAGAAATCATAGCTTAGATGCTTAGGGGGAGGGATTGCTCTTGACTTGATGTTGCAAGTGAGTGAAAGAATTGATGAATACTTGTCTTCAATGGGGTTTGTGTGGGAGGGGGAGAGAGAAAGTGGAGCGGGCAGTAGAGAGGGAAATTTGGGGTGAGCAGTGTGTTTTGAGGCTTGGGAGTTTTTAGGCTTTTGTCTTTAGTGATTTTTAAGGGAAAATTTTAGAAGAAACAAAACAAAAGGAAAATAAAATAAGAAAACATACTTGTCGACGCGAAGGCAGACACGAGCCACCTACCTTGCGAGGCAAGCTCAAACGCGATTTGGGAGGCGTGCGGCGCGAGGGATTCCGCGAGATCCACCTTGCTATAACCCTTGCTAGGCGAGCTTCAACGTACGAAAAACACCTAGCAACGCGAGTGATGTAGCCTGGCCAAGCGTGTTAGTAACCTGGTTTCGTGAGGTCTCCTGCCCTATCCGTTGCTACGGCCTACAAATATGTTAGTGCCTAAAACCAAAAAGAAAAATTCTAGTTACGCTAAAGTAAACTACGAATTGGGTTGCCTCCCAATGAGCGCCTTAGTTAACGTCAGGGAATGACGCATGCAACATTACAATGGGTTTCCTCTCACGAAGCGCCTGATTTAACGTTGCAGCATGGCACAGACTTTCCTGATTATACTTCACTCACATATTGAGGTTCGTTCAATCGTATCACATCTATCTCTCCTTTTTCGTCACTCATTCCTAGGTAGTGTTTCAACCTTTGCCCATTGGCTCTTAACCTATTCGTCCTATCCTCGGACTCAATTTCTGTAGCTCCATTTGATTGCACATGCACTACTCTAAATGGTCCCGACCATCTAGACATCAACTTGACCCGAAACAACTTCAATCTTGAATTGTATTGAAATACCCCGTCTCCAGGTTTAAAATTTCGTTCAAGAATATTTTTGTCATGCATCGTCTTCATTCTCTCCTTATATAGCCTTGTACTCTCAAAATCATGGTAATGGAACTCGTCAAGCTCGTGCAACTCTATGACTCTACTTGTACTCGCTATTTCCATGTCGAGATTCAGCTGCCTCGATGCCCACAAAGCTCTATGGTCCAACTCCACGGGTAAGTGACATGCTTTCCCAAATACCAGTTTATATGGAGACATGCCAATTGGAGTTTTAAAAGCGGTACGATAGACTCAGAGTGCATCATCTAACTTTTTCGCCCAATCCGTTCTTGTAGCATTTACGGTCTTTGTCAACACGCTCTTGATTTCTCTATTCGACACTTCCACTTGCCCGCTTGCTTGTGGATGATATGGGGTGACAACCTTGTGGCGAATTTTATAACAACTTTGCAAAAGCTCGCTTGCAGAAGTGAGTGCCTCCGTCACTGATTATTGCCCTTGGAGTGCCAAACCGGGTGAATATTCTTTCTCAAAAAACCAGTGACTCCCTTTGCATTATTTGTAGGGAGTGCCACAGTTTCCACCCATTTTTGACACATATTCCATAGCTACAAGTATATACTTGGTGCCATATGAGCTGACGAAAGGCCCCATGAAATTGATTCCCCATACGTCAAACACTTCCACTTCCTGAATTGGGTTCATGGGCATCTCATGTCAAGGAGAAATATTCCCGGTCCGTTGGCATTCATCATAAGCCTTCACCCAAAGGTTTGCATATTTGAACAATTCAGCCTGTAGAAGCCCGACTCCAATACTTTTGCAGTTGTCCTTACTCCCCTGAAATGGCCACCATATGGGGATGCGTGACAAGCCTGAAAAATAGAAGATTGGCCTATCTCGGGGATACATCTCCGGATCATGTTATCAACACAAATCTTGAACAGATAAGGCTCATCCCAATAATACATGCGAGAGTCACGAAAGAACTTTTTCTTTTGGACAGAGGAAAGGTCATAGGGGACAATTTCAGGTAGTTTGCAATATATGTATACCATGGTGCTACCTCTAGGCTCCTGGACAATAGTTGTTCATCCGGGAAAGTCTCCGCAATTTCATCCACCTCCACCTTCTTCTCCGTTCCTTCCAGCCTAGACAAGTGATCAGCCACTTGGTTCTCCATTCCCTTTCGATCATGGATTTCCAAGTCAAATTCTTGCAGCAGTAGCACCCATCGAATCAGGCGCGGCTTTGGCTCTTTCTTCTCAATTAGGTACCCGAGAGCAGCATGGTTAGTATAAACACTTACCTTCGAGCCAATAAGGTATGACCTGAATGTGTCAAATAAGAACACCACATCTAGCATCTCCTTCTCGGTCACTGTGTAATTTAGTTAGGCACCACTCAAGGTTCTACTTGTGTAGTAGATTGGATGCATGCCTTTATCTTTTCGCTGCCCAAGAACTGCTCCCACATAATAGTCGCTTGCATCACACATTAGCAAAAATGGTTGCTCCTAGTCAGGTGCAACTATGATAGGTGCATACACTAGCTTCTTCTACAATTCCTCAAAAGCTACCCTGCACTCATCAGAAAACACCAATAGGTGATCTTTTTCAAGCAATTTACACAAAGGATTAGCAATTTTGGGGAAATCTTTTATAAACCGCCTATAGAAACCGGCGTGGCCAAGGAAACTTCTTATTGCCTTGACAGAAGTGGGTGGTGGCAACTTTTCTGTTACATCAACCTTTGCACGATCCACCTCAATGGCCTTACTTGACACTAGGTGCCCCAAGACTATACCTTCCTGTACCATGAAATGGCATTTTCCCAGTTTAATACCAGATTAGTCTCCATACACCTCTTCAATACTCTTTTCAAGTTCATAAGACAATCATTTAATGAGTTCCCCACCACTGACAAGTCATCCATGTAAACGTCCATATTTTTCTCTACCATATCTGTGAAGATGGCCATCATGCACCTTTGGAATGTGGCGGGTGCATTGCATAGGCCAAATGACATTCTCCGAAATGCATAGATGCCATACGGGCAGGTGAACGACGTTTACTCTCTATCCCCCAGGGCAATAGAGATCTGGTTATACCCCGAGTATCCATCCAGGAAGCAAAAACAAGACATCCTCGCTAGTCTGTCTAGCATCTGATCAATGAATGGTAGAGGAAAATGGTCTTTTCGGGTGGCCTTGTTCAATTTTTTGTAGTCCATACATATTGCCCATCCCATGACTTTTCTTGTTGAGATCAGCTCATTGTTCTCATTTTGCACTACAGTCATTCCACCCTTCTTTGTTACACACTAAACTGGACTGACCCAGTTACTGTCATAGACGGGGAAGATGATTCCCGCATCTAACCACTTGAGCACTTCTTTCTTCACCACTTCTTTCATGTTGGTGTTCAGCCTTCTTTGATGTTCTCTGGAAGGCTTGTGCCCATGTTCCAGTAGAATCTTATGCATACAAAATGCAGGTTGATACCCTTAATATCTGGTCAAACCAATTGCAGTCCTACACTCTATTAACACCTGCAAAAGTTGTTCTGCCTACACATCTAACAAACCAGATGAGATAATAACAGGTAAAGTTGAGTTAGGTCCCAAGAAAGCATACCTGAGGTGAGACAGTAATGATTTTAGCTCCAACTGTGGTGGCTCTTCAATTGATGGCTTAGCTGGAGGGGTCTTTCTTCCTTCTAAGTGTAAGGGCTCGAATTCGAGCTCTCTTTTCTAGTACCATTGGCCTTCAATGGACAAAACCCACTCCGCCAAGTCCTCACCATCTACCTCTTCTAAGTTCGTGAGGCAGGCTGCTAAAGGGTCTATTGCATTCAAAGCCTCATTTTCCTCCTCCAAAATCACATCCACAGCTTCTATCAGAGAGCAGTTAGCAAATTCACTAGGTCACCGCATAGACTTCTGCACATTGATAATTATCTCTTCATCGTTTAGTCTCATCTTTAGCTCCTAGTTTCACAATCAATTAGAGATCTCCCTGTGGCCAAGAATGGCCTTCCCAATATTATGGGAATCTCCCCGTCAACCTGGTAGTCCAGAATGACAAAATCTACCGGAAACACAAACTTTCCAACCTGCATCAGTACATCATCAAGTATGCCTGATGGCTTCTTTACCGTTCGGTCGGCTAGCTGTAGTAATATGGGTGTGGGTCTTGGTCTTTCAATGCCTAACCGTTTATAGATAGACAAGGGCATCAAGTTTATTCTCTTTCCCAAATCACACAATGCTTTAGCAAAAGCATAGCTGCCTATTGTGCATGGGATTGTGAAACTCCCTGGGTCGGACAACTTCTCAGCTATGGGTCTCGTCACGACAACACTACATGTCTGAGTTAGTGTAACAATGGCCAAGTCTTGAAAGTCGAACTTGTAAGACATCAAGTCCTTCATCATTTTTGCATACTAGGCATCTCCCTCAAGGCGTTAATCAATGGAATGTTCACCTGGATTTGCTTCAACATCTCCATGAATTTCTTATACTGCTCATCCTTATGATATTTGGCCAATCTCTGTGCGAAGGGTACTGGAGGTCGCTTCTTTCTTGTGACTTAAGTTTGATCCTGCTCGTGTACTTTTTCTAATGCCTTCTCTTACACTTCCTCAGACCCCTTTTCAAACTCTTTTTCCTTGTTTATTTCTTCTTGGGCTGGTTGGATTCTTACTTCTGTCATCTCTGTTGACTCATCTACCTCAATCGGTATTCGCACGAGTATCTCGGTTGGTCGGTGATCGCAGCCAACCCTGCACTACTATTAAGTAGCGAGAGAGGTCGAAGCAGCTTTTACCCGATTTAGGGTCGGGATCGATTTCCACAGTGAGCTAGATATTGGAGTTGGGTGTCTATCTAAAGTAGAGTTGTGTATTTGCTCCAAATTGCACTTCTACACATTTTTGATTTTAATTATGATTCTAATTTTATAAACTACAATGCTCAATTAAACTACTATAAGCTAGGATTAAACTATTGCAAGTTGTTCAAATGATTAAAAGGCACTAGGGTAGTGACTTTCGCCTAGGTGGTCAATTGACAGATTCTTGAGTCTAAAGCTAGATTGACACATCTGGGAGTATGATATAACCATTGCTCGATTCTACTCACTCTATACCTCTCGGTAGTTCGAGTGATTTTGCCTGTAATGGCTTTCTCAAGAATGGGTATGCAAATTTGCACAAGCAATTAAGGTTCAAGTCGGGTACTACCATCTCTCGGTTTAACCCTTTAATTGGGGCTATCAATTCTCTTAAGTACGCCCCAATTCCTTGTTGGACTAATTTTAGAGACTTAGGCTCTCTTTCTCAAGAAGAGCAAAAGTCAACAAAACACAAACTAGTGTTTGCAACCACTAAATTAGCAATAAAACATGAAATTAGCCTAAATATCAAATACCCATAGTCAATCAAGCCCTAAAATACAAGACCCATCAATTACCCACACTAGGGTTGAGCCACAACCCTAGCTGATGGCTCTAGCTACTCATAATTAGAGACAAAAACAAAGAAATAGATGAAGAAGAACTCATATTAATTAATTGCTAAATTAAACTTGAAGATTCAATGTTGAAATGAAGCTAAAATTACTCAAAACAACTAAAATATTCGAACCCACGAGCGCAGCTTTCAGTTCTAACTATCTGCCTAACCTAAAAATGGAAAAGAAGCTATTTATACTAAGCTGAAATATCTGGACAAAAATACCCCTACGGGGTTAGTGAGGACCGCACAAAGTGGTGTGCGGCAGCACTAGGGCTCTGAACATAAAATTCCAGCTCTCTGAACTCAGTCAATGCGGACTGCACAGAATCGAGTGCGGCAGCGGTGGCTTCTAGTGCGGTCCGCGCTCCGCATGAAATGGAGGGCGGACCGCATTGGCTTCAATCTCCAAAACTGGCACCTCTCTAATCTTTGGTTCTGCGAACCGCACTAAATCGAGTGCGACCGCAGTGACTCCAATGCGGACCGCATTAAATCTCATGCGACCGCATTGCCTGTTGGCCTAGAAATCACCTTCTCTAAAATCCCACTTGTGCGGACCGCACAGAATGGTGTGCGGCCGCATTGGGCTTGTTTTTCCTGAGCTTTGTTTTGTCTTGGTACTTGTGCAAGTTTCACTCCTTTCTGAGCTGAGCTTTGACATCTTGTCACTTTGTTGATCAAACCTGCAATCAAGCACAACTTGTGAGCCTTTTGAGACTATTTTGTACAAATTTCTAATCAGAA